GTATGTCAATAACTTTGGTCTCAAATTGTAATTTATAGTTCAAATTTTAGTATTATACATTAGTTAATTTCTTAATTTAAAAGTAAATGTTTAAAAATATCATAAATATTGATTTTTGTGTGTTCAGTGGTATGTTTAATACAGCATTGGTTCAGATTAGATATTTGTGATGTCAAATACAAAGTGTATAGATTCTTACGAATTAAATACTCAAATTACTGATATTGGAAAGCTAGAATATAAGGTGAGAACCTCCTATTTTCTGATATATTAATATATTTATTGAATAAACCATGGTGGCCCCACCCACCTCTTCCATTTTTGAAAATGCTCACATACATCTATTTTGTACTTGATGATGACGAAACCTTGTCGGAACGTTGTACATTTGCTGTTATGTTAAACTTACATTAAAGTTTTTCTTCATTACCCATTCAAGCCATCTCCAACCATTATTAGTCTCAAAGTGTGTTCCTCGTCATTGAATTTGAATACATCTATTTTGCCAAATGACGTGTATAACATATTGAAAGTTCAGAATGTCTCCCTAGTGGTTTTTTTTTCCAAGCAGTAAGTTAAGACATTAGTGAGCTCAAAAAATAGTTTTTAGACCCACATATAGCTTAGTTACTAAGCTTGATAAATTATAGTTGAATTCTATGGTACTGATATAGTAATTTATCATTTTTTGTTATTTCAAAATGCATATATAAAACCTGAAAAAAAGAAATTTTTGTTTTATATCCTCCACATGTGAAATTTTATAAGGCTTTGCAAATTGTGGCAAATACAACAAATGAGTTAACTAGAAGAGATAATTGTTTTCTATACTTCTTTATTTACTGTTCTAGTTTTAAGAAATAACAGAAATTTAAGAACTTGTATTAGTAATAATGTATATACATATATGATATAATATAACCAAAATATGACTATTTTACAAAATACTGGTCCACTTGAACACAACTTTGTAAAGGCCAGTTTTATATTCTTGGAAACGGTAACACAAGTGCATGTGGGTCATGTCATTGCAACTTCTGTAATGTTGGGCACAGATGAAAGGTCAGTAAAATAAAAATAATAAATATATGGATGTACAATGTTATGAGATTTAAACTATTTAGACTAAACATTTGTGTTTTCATAATTATAGTCTAATTATTTTAGAATGAAAGAAGCATAATTTATATCGATTTCCAAACATTTTATGGTGGTTACGAGGTCAGTCAAATCGACCAAATCCATACAGAGATACAATAGTGAAAATAACAGATAAAATATAAAGTTTTTTTAAAAAGTTTGATAATTATCTGGAGGCTATAAAGATTTTGGATGTGAAACTTGAAAGTTTTCTGATGCATAAAAGTATTTTTAATCTTAAAGTCAAAATTACTTCAAAAATCTTAAAACTAAAAAAAAATTGATATTTTGTGAAGAAACATGTACTGCATTAAAAATTATAGCATGAAAACTATAACAAGCACAAAATTGTTATGAGATCGGTCCCTGGGACCAAACCCGTAGTGAGTTAGCTTACTTAGCCTGATGTTGTGTATAAAAGTGCTGGAGAAGGCTGTTTATTCCAACCAGCAATCTCTTTTGTTCTAGAAACTGATAATTACATGACAAAACAAATACCAAATGATAAATTTTGACATGAGTTATAAAATTAAAAAAAAGGGATACTGCAGGAACAAATGCAACTTGTGTTTTTCTTTTTAAGTCCTTTAGATGAGATAAACCCACACAAGACATGTGTGACCACTGACCTAGACTTGTTCACTGCTCTACCAGCAGGTTTGTTACCATAAGCAAAAATAGTTATTTGAAACTACATCTTATGAAGTTGGATGAATTTTTTTCTTGTATCTAGATTTCTTTTCAGGCTTATGTTCAAATAAATGCTGTCTAGGCCTAAAACTCAGAAGTAAAATTCTTGTGAATAATACACTAAGTATTTAGCTGTCATTACATTGTGGACGTTTATCATAAATATAAATAGTAAAGAAAAGGAATTTTAGAAAACAAAAGTATTTCACTTATCAATTTATTTTGTTACCACAAAAATCTAAAATCTAGATTAGATAATTCATATCAATACATGGAATTTGATATGGATAAGTTTTATTTATTAATCATTAAGACCTGTACTAGTAATTTCATATTTCTACCAAAATTATTTTAGTTTCTGTACTTTTAGGTTTCCAGCTTATTGAAGATACAATTAGGCCTAGCAGTACAGATACAAACTATCATATTCGATATTTGTATATTTCCTGAATGACAGTTAATTTAACTCGTTTTTTATAACATTTAATGTGCAAATTATGTTTCATATAATAAATATATAATATGTATGTATAATGTGAATAAGTAAAGACAGGAATATTAGCTTGGTAAATTTCCCTTGTCAGTTAAAAAGTAACAGTATTAAAATCATTTACATTGGATATTTGTATTAAAATAAGAGAGTTGCACAATTGTAAAGTTAAAGTGGTAGCTGACAGTCTGTGGTCAGTGGCTCAAAATTAGAGACACTGCAACAGGGTTCAGTAATTGTGAGGATAGTTAAAGTTCTGGCCATTGCTAAACTCAAGCATGTAAATCAAACCAAACAATTCATGAGTTGTATGAACTTGACAGATACGAGTAATCAGCTGATGTGAATTTCCAGGTAACATCAATTTTTTTAATATACTATCACATTTTAGATCCATGTTTGTATGAGTAATTACATTTACTAATATGAAATAAAAGATGTAATAAAAAATAAACAAGTTTTTTTTTTTGTAACAGGAGCATTGTTTACAGCCAGTCTAAATATTCATAACTTCCCTGGATTATGAACTTGCAAAAAGAAAAGGCAGTATCCATTTACATTCAGAGACTAAACATTAGAACCCACTGGCATTTTGCCATAACGAGATACTATTCTAAGATGAGCAAATGCAAACAGTATTACCTAGTAGTCTGATTTTTTTATCTACATACACAAGTTGAAATAGTCATCAACTGATGGGAAATTTTAAACTTAATTAAAACAATGCAAGTTTAATGGCTATCATGTACTATAAAATAATAATTTAAACATAAACTCTATCTCAAAATTTTAAAATTATAACAAAGCTTCTTCATGAAAAAAAAAAAAACATTTGCAGTTTGCTTTATATCTACCAACAAAATAGATTTTAAGGTGATCCCACCCTTGTACACCCTACATCTCATTGACCATGAGAAAAGCATGTTTATTTGAGAAATAATTCAGCAACTGTCATACTTTGACCTTGAATCCATTTAGAATATTCAACATTGTTTTAAGTGTCAATCTGCCAAGATTGTTTGAGATTGACTCAATAGGCTGGGAGTAATTAACCAACAAGCTTTACAAAATAGAAATAGCGTTAAGTTGAATTTTGACCCCATTAAGACATTCCCCACAGTTCATAGTGTTTACATACAAATTTTGGTTGAGATTAGCCCAATAGGCTCAAAGGAGTAAGGGTGCAAACAAACACACATTTCATCTTTATATAGTGCAATATGCAGTTAACTAGCTGTTTTTTCTGTTCTGTCAATTCAACATCTCTATGGTGCAACAAATGAATATTGTAACATATTTTGCTAGATAGGTTGAATTGACCTAATTTGACGTTCACCTAAATCTTGAACAGAATAGAGTTGTATATTTTGTATATTGTAATTATTTCAGCCTAATAAGTTCTGGTAGCAAGCAAAAAAAGCCTTGTCAGCATAGGTGCATAACAAAAGGTGTGGTTGAATGGTACTTCCATTGCTTTAGTAGAAGACAAGCAATAGGTATGATTATCAGCGATGATATAATCATGAAACATTTTTATTGGGTAACTCAGTTATATCAAGAAAAGCTTAAAATTAGTAATAATCATAAATTGTACCTGAAGGATGAAGCCAATAAGGTTTGTGGCTTGAATACTGATAGTGCAGTGAAGTTGAACCAGCTCTGTGGAATAATGCACCTTGGCTAACCAATACCATTGGAGTGTGTGTGTGTATAGGGGGGTTTACAGGTATGTTTTGGTGAGAAGAAACTTTGAAGTAGTTTGTGTGTGTGATTCTCTCTCTTCTTCTTCTTTTTTTTTTTTTATTTATAAATTAGTTGATGACATCCACGCTGAAAAAAAAAAGTCCTATTATCATTTTCAATGGACTTGAGGCATAAGACACAAGTTTTATTAGGTGCATGGCATTGGTTCATTAGAGTGACTGTAGATGTGAAGCTATACATATTAATGTTCACTATAATTCTAAATATTTGATAGCTGTTTACTAAACATTACAAATCAGTTATGCACAAAAAATCAGGATTTTTAATAAAGTATTTCTACTAAAAATATGTCTTAATTTCCAAGGACTACTGAGTCAATTTGAGTCCAAGGTGATTTTCAAAGAATAAAAATACTTCATCTTACTTTTCATATTTCATTTGCATAACTTCTAGAACTTCCTAAATGATTATCAGGTGTTTTTTTTTGTAAAACTATTTTTATATAACCTGTGAAAAGTTAACTATGAAATATTTAATGCTTTTTTGTGTTATCTGAATACATCTTCTAGATTTTCAGTCTTGTCTTTAAAACATATCAGGCACTATTATAACTTAAGTTTGCATATGCCCCCCATAAAAAAAACCAACACAAGACAAAACTGCACTAAGATTTTTGTAAAGGAAAAAATGCACTTTTTCTTTGTTATAAACATGTACATCAAATTTATTTAAGTATTTCCCTTTAAAATTAAAAATATTGACATACATTAATACTAAAGTTGTTTAATGAATTTTTTAATGTACTACTATAAAAGGTTGTGATGTGGGCACTTTGACAGAGTCATGTTAATGGATCAGTATCCTGCTTAGTTTTATTCATCATTGTATGGCATACAAGACAAATATTACAAATGATTGGGACAAACTTAATTTGGTTGTAGTAAATTTAAGTTTTTCTTTTTGTATTTATTCCTAGTTTGCGGTGAGACCATGTCAGGAAGGTACAGGGATAGTGGCCCTTTGGATTGTAAGGTCTATGTTGGTGATCTTGGAAATAATGGTACGAAACATGAATTAGAAGAAGCTTTTGGTTATTATGGTCCATTGCGAAATGTATGGGTAGCAAGAAACCCTGCTGGATTTGCTTTTGTAGAATTTGAAGATCCGAGAGATGCAAGAGATGCTGTTCGAGCCTTGGATGGAAGGTAAATGTTAAATTAGACTAGTGGTTATGCCCAAATTGTGTTTTTATCTTTGAATGAAAAAAATGAATTTATATTTTTTAGGGTGATAGACAGCTTTGTGATTTTACATAAAGCTTTTTTTCCAGTTAAACTTAGCAGTTTGGCTTTGTTTACCTTGCATTGACAGTGTGAAAAGGTGTCATTATTTATTTATTTTTTTCACACCAGCATTTCTGTTGCTGTGAGCAGTCATGTCTCTAAAAAAGTTTTTATTGCAGAACTTTCAAACACACAATGGTATACATAGATGTTCTTTATTTTCCAAATACATCTTCATTACATTTTGTTGTGTTTAAGGTACAGTTATAACCTGAATTATCAAACAGAAAGTTAAAAACTTTGTATAAAATTAACAAACAAAAGTTAAGAACACCCAGAATTGGGTTTGTCGTAAAAGGTTAATGTAATTGAATTTTGTTTGTTTGTGTAAAACAAATACTATTTACAATGTTTTTGTCAAACATGAACTGTTTCCTGTCTTCCCAACCCCCCACATACATGTATTATGTCAGGGGTGGCAACCCTCTTTATGCTTGTGGGCCAATTTCTAACCTAGACTGTAGTCCGAGTGCTGAAACTATATGACTGGGTAAGCATTTTCAGAATATTTGCATAATTCAAATTTTAATTCTTACTGTATACTTTAGATCAGTGGTTCTCAAACTTTATACAGTCTGAGTGCACTTACAATACTACAGATACTTGCTGGTGCACTGTATACAAAATAGGACTAATATGTTATAATTAAGTTAAATATATAGAAAAATAACACATTTAATAAAAGCAAACTTAACATACCTCTATGAAGTTTATTCATTCCTGTGTTAATGAGAAACATGAGCTTGATGAGACCTTGCGATTTCTTCAATGTTTGGTC